ATATCAGACATCTGAAATACTTGTGGAGGCATGTATCTGAGATACTTGGGCAGGTACATATCAGAAATACTTGGGCAGGTTTGTATCAGACATACTTGAATGGGGGTCCTGGAAAAAATTAGCTTTTTACTTTGGACAAATGAAGCAGGGTCCAGAACACCTGGCTTGTTGAATTGTAGTACCATGATTATAGGTATGAACACTAGAGTTATATTTCTTGGTTAAAATCCTAATTCCATCTCTTAATAGTTGTATGATACTACCTAGCTTCTTTATGCCTCAGTTTCCTCATCAGTGAAATAAGTATAAAGCCTATCTACCACACAGGGCTGTTATGAGATCTAAATTAATATTTGTCTATCTGAAAATGGTTAAAATGGTACCCATCATATTGTATGCATTTTGATAATCTCTTGGCATAAGTTCCATTTCTGCCTTCCTTCACTCCCTTTTGAATTGTAGAAGTGGGAGCCTGCAAACTGCCTTTCCCTTTTTAGTTGGGTACAGAATGTTGGAAAGCAAGAGAAAGAGAGGTGCTGTCTTTTCTTTGCTTCTGGAGATGCCTTCAGCAGGAGTAGTGGCAGGAGTGCCACACAGGCTCTGCAGTGGGAATGTGGCTCCCAGGTTCCCACTCGGCTGCAATACCAGTGGGGACACAGCCTCCATCACATCCTCCAATGTAGCCTCCAACTCTCACATCCATACATGACCCAGGTTCCCACTCGGCTGCAATACCAGTGGGGACACAGCCTCCGTCAGAGTAGAGGCATGGCAAGGCTTCAGCCCAGGAATGGTACCAGCTCTGTATCAATGGATAGAGCACTAAACTCTGGTTCACCCAACTTTTCCAATAATTTTCTAACTAATTCTGTGCATTAAATCCCTTTACACTTGAAATATCTAGAGTGGTTTTTGTGTTTCTGACTGATGGACACAGTCACTACTGTGTCCATTATTAATTATATATTATATTATTTCCATTATTAATGTCAATTATACTATTGATGTTATTATTAATATCCTCTGAAATATTATCTATGAACCAAAATTCTAAAAATATAACCTTACCCAATTTTTCCAATCTACCACTCTAGTCACTTTTTTCTACAGATTTCATCCTTGAGCTAGAAGCATATAGAGTGAATGATCAATCGTTATATGAACTGGTTTATCATTTAAATACACCACTATAGGTGTATATCTGTCACTGATCGATGACCTAGTAGGTAGGGAGATTTATTTCATTTGACACCAGTCTAAGAAAGATCATATTATTTTGGAGAATGGACTTTGAACAATTAAAAAAATGTATAATCAATAACAGGAGAATTCTTATGTCCTATATAAGGCATACTGTGTGATTAACCTTTAATACATTATCTTTCTCCAGCTCTTTATTGATTACCCATGACTTATCACAGTTTGAAGGAGAAAACATATACCATTAAGTAACTTTGTTTCACAGCTGAAGCTAATGTAGTAAGGGAAAATGTCTTGGTAAGAGAAACTATAATCAATGGATTTAGCACCCAGAATTATAAATTCATAGAAGGATTTGTGAATGTGAGAGCTTAAAACTGGGGAACAATTTGGAAAATGGTCTGTAAAAGAATTGATATAAAGGAAAAGTACCTCAACGATTAACTTGAAATGTTCAGAGATCGATCTGGCTCACGTTTTTCCTTTGTTCTAATTCTTCCTTCTCTTTAAGAGTTGAGTTCTGTTTTGAAACAGCCATACTCATCTTTTCGCGTTGTCTTTCTCTGTCAGTCTCTGGAGAAGACTATTGTTGAACTGCCATCTCTTTACTCTGGTTTTTGCTGGTAAGCAAGAGACTCCTCATTACACAGTTACACAATATAGCTGGTCATGAACCATGTCAGTCGGAAAATGTCTTTACTTTGAATGAAGTTTTTCCAACAGTTTATTTCAGCAAACAGTTTGCTTGGCTATCTTGACCTCTTTATTAATAACCTAGAGTTTGTAACTACATAACATGTGACTAAAAGTAAATAAGATTGATGTCGAGGTATGACATGTAAGCCAGCATCATTATTATAGTTATACCACTTGAGACACTTGATTAGTCTATGCGTGAGACTTTCTGCAAGCTGGAAAAACAAAATACAAGGAACTTCTGGGATAAAATTTGAAGAATCATTGATTAGAAGACAGTATGTATGCTGTTCTAAGTCGCTTCGGTCATGTCTGACTCTTTATGACCCCAGGGACTGCAGCCTGCCACGTTCCTCTGTCCATAGGATTCTCCAGGCAAGAATACTAGAGTGGGTTGCCATGTCCTCCTCCAGGAGATCTTCCTGACCCAGGGACTGAGCCAGCATCTCTTACATCTCCTGCACTGGCACGCACTGGGGAAGCCCAGAAGACAGTACGGCAAAAGAAAACTAACACTGTCTTTGTAATCAGACCATTTGAGCTCAGTCCCTGACTCTTTCACTCTAAGGATGAATTCATATCTTGTTTATCTGCTTCTCCCTTTTCCTCTATCCCCCTCCTTTCTCACACACACACACCACACAGGCCACACCTACAGCTTATGTCTTAAGTTAGGTGACTATGATCCACAGGCCAAATTTAGCCTGTCATCTGTTTTTGTAAATACAGCTTTATTAGAAAATAGTCACATCCATTTGTTTACATATTGCCTAAGGCTATTTTTTCACATCAATGTCAGTTTTCACAACAAAGTCATTGTGAGAGATGATAGGTTGCAAAGGCTAAAATATTTACTATCTGGTCCTTTACAGAACATATTTGCTTATCTCTGGCTTAAATAATAGTAGAAGCTCAAGAAATTTTAGTCTCATTTCTTTAGCTAGAAAAATAATACAACAGAACATCTAGTGCCCAGATCTTGGTTTCTAATAAAAGGATCCGGAGCTCCTTGGAGAAATGTCTGATTCTATGGGCTGAGGCAGGAAATACATTGCATGAGCCTGGAGCATCTTGTAGTGCCAGAAATTAAAGAAATGCAAAAAATAAAAGCTAAACAGACAAAAAGCAGGAGTGTGTCAACAGGAGACAGGAAACATGAGACAATTCCCAAAGCTAACAATTTGAGGAAATAAATAAATAAATAGATTTTATCCAATTATAGCCCAAAGTCTAAAATAAATTTCCATGAATCCATACTGATATCAATAAGTGATTCAATAAATAAATAATGGGGGTGATAGAAAAATCTACAGTACAGAAAACTTTCAAATATTTTATGTAGATACTCTGCTCTTGAGAAGCGAAACATAACTGTCCACTTCTCAAAGTGGGCTGTACATGGTGACTTCCTTCAAAGAGTTAGAGCAGAGAAAAGGGAAAGAAAAAAGAGTAACATTACAGTGGAGAAGCTTGAAGAACACTCTTTCAGCCAGATGATCGAGGTCAGCATCATCAATAATAAGTCAGATTGATGTGAATGTACTCTTGATATGATATAATGAGAATGATACTTTGCCTTTCTGGTCTTTCTCCACAAAACATATAACCCACGTCTAATCATAAGAAAAACATCAGACAAATCCCCATAGAGGGATATTTTGCAAAGTATCTGACTAATATGCCTCAAAACTGTCAAGGTAATCAAAAACAAGGAAAATCTGAGAAAGTGTCACAGCCCAGAATAGGCTAAGAAGATATAACTACTAAATGCATTGTGTTTTTCTGAATGGAATTCTGGAACAGAAAAAGAATATTAGGTAAAAACTAAGGAAATCTTTCACTATAGACTTTAGTTAATGCTAATGTTCTGATTTTATTCCCACATTAATTGTAACAACTGTTTAATACTAATATAGGCTATTAACAATAGAGGAAACTAGGTTTGGGGTATACATGAATTCTGCTCTATTTTGTAATTTTTCTGTAAATCTAAAACTATTGTAAAACAAAATGTTTTAGTATTTGGCAGAATGCTTGAAAAGTTATTATATTTTGATGACCATAAATTATACATTTTGATACAGAAATTATTTCACCTTATAGATCCAACAAAGCAGAATAAAATGAAGACAGAGTTCCAAATATGTTTATTCTTTCACAGTCATATGCCATACTAACATGTTTTACATGAAAAATGTGTACCTTTTGAATATATAACTAATGATCTCCAATCCTAAAGATGCTAGAGAAATAAACTCTTTTCCAACTATAAAAGACAAAAATAACAGGAAATAGCAGTCATATGCTGAAATATAATAAAGTCATTGAGAGGCTCTATATAGTAGCAGTATAAAAAGGAGAGAAGGACACAGCTAAAGGGTAAAATCTACCGGGGACACATTTAATCCAAGTACTGTATTTTGGAAACTATCCAAAAGCAGTAAGAGAGTTAGCATAACATCTGGGAAATCAAAGTGCCTGCTACAATAGAATGGCAGTTCATTTGTATATTTGGAGGGAAAAATCAGCATAATAAGAAAGAAAACAAGTTTTTCCACATTTAAAGTAAAAAAATAGTCTACGTCATGAACATATTTCCCAAATAAGTATCTCCCAGGTAGAAAATATGCAGCTTATAATGTGCTGCTTGAAATGCAGGGCAATTCTATGTCAAGAATACATCTAAAACTGACACACAATTCATTGAAGAGATTGCTAAAGTTTCAATACTTTAAAAAAACTTAAGCAAAGAAATCCAAAGCTGTCATCTGAAGCATTTTAAATCTGTGACAACATGCTTAGTTATAAAATGATGGTTCGAAGCCAAATGAAGCAATACTGGCAATCTTACTGAAAGATTAACTGATACTTCACAAGGGCTATGTCACATCGAGTTGGAATAAGGCATCACGGATATCCTGGGTCTCTGATGCTAGAAGCAAAGTGATAGACCTTGAGTTAATCCTCAGGAAATATCTTTTTCAATCTTGTTCAGTTGCTCAGTCGTGCCCAACTCTGCAACACCATGGACTGCAGCACACCAGGGTTTTCTGTCCTTCTCCATCTCCTGGAGCTTGCTCAAACTCACGTCCACTGAGTCGGTGATGCCATCCAACCATCTCATCCTCTGCCGTCCCCTTCTCCTCCTACCTTCAATCTTTCCTAGCATCAGGGTCTTTTCTAATGAGTTGGCTCTTCGCATCAGGTGGCCAAAGTACTGGAGCTTCAGCTTCAACATCTGTGCTTCCAATGAATATTCAGGATTGATTTCTTTTAGGATTGACTGGTTTGATCTCCTTGCTGTCCAAGGGACTCTCAAGAGCCTACTTCAACACTACAGTTTGAAAGCATCAATTCTTTGGTGCTCAGCCTTCTTTAAGGTCCATCTCTTTTCAATCTACCTGAAGATAAGCAATCTAATCATTTAGAAGACCTATGATAGTCCTTTCAAAAGACATATTATTAGGAATGTAGTTAACCACAATGAGTAGTTTCAAGAGTTTCCTCTGACATAACAGAAAAAAGAAAAAACTAGACCCACCCTGCCATTGTGTAGAAAATAGATTTTATAAATGCATAGTCCTCAAGCAACTCAAGTGACTTAACTGTATCTATTTTGTGATGCTAGATCAGAGAATATCTGTTAAATAGAAAATATTTATTAGTTTATTGGTACTCTATGCTAATAGTTAAAGTGTAGAAAATCTATACAATGTGCTATTATGAACTTAATTATCAAAGTAATTTTCAAAATCTGATTTTACTGATGAACTACAAATTGAATATATAAATTCTACATATGCCTGTTTTGTCCACATGTGGCTTGATGTCCACAGTGTGAACATTTCTTTTTAAAGCAACTAATATTTCTTTCAATGAAGAGTAAAACATTTAAGGTGAAACAGACAGACTGATTCCTTTGACTGCTTGATAGTTATATTGTTTAACTTCTTGGCTTAAAGGAATTAATTTTGCTTATCCCATTATTGCCTTAAATAGATCATTTATTAACATTCATTTACTTAACAAATGTTAATTGATGGCAAAATTTGCATCAGCTATTGTGCTAAAACTCAGAGGATGCAACTGTAATCAAAATCAGAGTCTCTCTCCTCATGGAGTTTCTAGCCTAAAAAACGAGACAGATTGCTCTTATTATAATTCCTAGGAAGGACAAGTGCATGGTGCTATGTGATTTAGTCAGATTTGAAGAAAGTTTCTCTGAGAGTCATACTTGGGCTCAGATATAGTGATTAAAAAGTTCACTGGACCAAGAAAAGAAGGAAACTTTCCCAGGGAGAGAGTAGAATGTATGCTACTAACTTACTGTGGAAGATAGTTTGGACTTTGAAGATCATTGTAAAAATGTTTGCTTTTAGAGGACAGGGAAAGTGTTTAAGAGTTTTACCCAAAGTTACATGAGTATTTTTGCATCTAAAAAATGTCATGCAGTCTATGTGTGGATAAATGGTGAGACGAGGCTGGGCTGGAAGCAGGTAGATTGCTCAAAGGGTTATTATAGCACTTAGAAGTCAGTTTTTGAGAAGAGGAGGCATGATGTTTCTACTGGAACTGCTAAAAATGGATAGATTTGAGAGCCATTTAGGAAATAATATACACTGGACTTGTTGATGGGTTGAATATAGTGGCGGGAGATAAAAGAGATTTCTGGTTAGTACAGCCTCATGGATATTGAAGACAGCCTATAAAAGAAGATTATTAAAACTTGGGGAAATGTGATGTGTAATTGATGATTCAATTTTGGGATGTTCATTTTAAGATACCACTGAAACATACAAGAAGGGATGACCCAAGAAGCACTTCCAGAATGACAGAGTGAAGATCTCCAAAAATCTGCTCCCTATAAAAACAATGAGAACATTAGCAATTATTCTCAAAGTCAACTTTTTAAAGACCCCTGAAATTAACTAAGGCTTGCAACAATTACAGAAGCTATTATGCAATAAAAATGACTGGATCTCAGTAAGAAGAATAAGCATTGTGGCATTTTACCTTGTCTGACTCCCATTATCCCCTTTTCAGCTCTGTTGTAGAATTGAAAACTTGCAGACTCACAACTAGACAGCTGTAACAACCAGAAGTCTAGCAACCACTGGAGGTACAGATTTTCCTAAGTCTGGATTTTGATAGAAAATTTAGGAAAATCTGGCTTGGATTTTCCTAGTCTCATCTCCAGAGAAATGTTATTATTTGACCTTTCTAGCAGCTGCTAGGCAAAGTTTCTTTCTTAGAACTTGCCTTTATTTGACTTAACCCAGAACTCTCTCTGTGTGACTCTCATCTCCAGGATATTTGTAGAAAATATTTAATAGTAATTGTTTGATAATATAGCTAGCTGAGGCAGTGACACCATCTGTAGCTAACAAGAGGTTGACCAGAAGTCTCATAAAAGAAAAGGGTAATGAGATATTTACTGAGGGATTTGAAAGAGTCCAAAAATTCCTGAAAAATCTAGAAGGTGATGTTCATATGCAGGACTGTGCATATCCCCAGGAATGAATTTGGAATGCCGTAATAGTTCACCTTCGACTGATACTGATGCTCTGCCTAGGAACAAGGTAAAGACTAAGCCATCCCTGGTAGTTCAGTGGTAAAGAGTCTGCCTGCCAATGCAGGAGACATGGGTTCAATCCCTGGTCTATGAAGATCCCACATGCTGCGGAGCAACTAAGCCTGCACTCCACAACTATTGAGCCTGTACTCCAGAGCCCAGGAACCACAACTACTGCGCCCACGTACCAGTGCTGTGACACCCCAGTGCCCTAGAGCCTGGGCTCAGCAGCAAGAGGAGCCACCGCAATGAGAAGCCATACCTTGCAATGAAGGGTAGCCCCCGTTTGCCACAACTAGAAAAAGCCCACAAGCAGCAATATATACATATATAACTTACATATTAAAATATGTTATATTTTATTTTCAAAAATATAGGAACAGTGCTTGTCAGTAAAAAGGAATTAAGTACTTATGCTATAACATGGATGAACCTTGAAACATCATGTTAAGTGAATAAAACATAAAAATGCATATATTGTGTGATTCCACTTATATTACATGTCCAGGTTAGGATATCTAGAGAGGTAAAAGTTTAGCGGTTGCTAGGGGCTAGGAAGGTGGGAATGGGGAGTGGTGATGAACAAATTCTAATGTTATATAGCGAAAGTGAAAGTGCTAGTCATTCAGTCGTGTCCGACTCTTTGTGACCCCATGGACTGTAGCCCACCAGGCTCTTCTGTCCATAGAATTCTCCAGGCAAGAATACTGGAGTGGGTTGCCATTCTCTCCTCCAGGGGATCTTCCCGGCCCAGGGATTGAACCCAGGTCTCTCACATTGCAGGCAGATTCTTTACCATCTGAGCTACCAGGGAAGCCCAAAGTTATATAGCAGTGATGGATGTACAACTTCATGAGTGTGTGTAATTGAATACTTTAAATGGGTAAATTTTAAGGCATAAGAATTATATCTCAATAAAGCTATTAAAAATATTTCACATTGAGGAAAATAAAAAAATACAAAAAAAAAAGGATGAAATGATAACTTGAATGTTTGACATTTATAGGACAGATAAGTTTGGGTGCAAGTTTAAAAGTTTTCTGTTAACTATTTTTGATATGTTGATACATAAAATTTCATAATTGTCTTAGTTCTTTCAGACTGGTAATAGAATAACAGAGACTGGGTGACTTATATGGAGAAATATATTTCTCACAGTCCTGGGGCCTGGAAAGTCCAAGATCAAGATGCCAGCAGATTCTCTCTGTGCTGAGGGCCCTCTGCGTTGTTCTCAGATTGCCGTGTTCTCTCTGCGTCCTCACATGGTGGAGGGAAAGAGGGAGCTTTCTAGGATTTCCTTTATAATGGCACTGATCTCATTTATGAGGGCTCCATCCTCATGACCTAATCACTTCCCAAAGGCCCCACATCCAAATGCCATCGTGTTGGGGGTTAAGATTTAAACACATGAATTCATTCAGTGCATTCATAGCAATAATAAAGTTACAGAGTACAATGTTTAAAAGAATATAAAAAATAAGGTAGGAGAGATATGAATAAGGGATTCTGTGAGGAAATAGTTTCAGAGAACATCTTGGAGATATTACATCTATGTCCCTGCTTTATACTGGTTTAAAGCTATCACGTTAGAGAACATACATATGACAAAAGTTACTTTGAATCCAGACAAGAAATCTTATTAAGATAGAAGGAGCCAGCTAAGAAAATTAAAGCATCTGGGCCTTTGCTGTTTTCCAAGCTAAACTTTTCAAAGCAATTTGGGTAACGGAACAAAGCATAAAGACAGAGCAAAAACTAAAGGAAGTCATTCACAGTAGTTGAAATAGCTGAATGTAAAATGCAAATAATTTTTAAGGCATTGGTTCTGCACTTTGAGAATACTTGAAGGTTTTTCAAAAGAAGCTAAAAGATGGACACTTTAAATGAGTAAAGAGATCAAAATGTAAAAGAAACAAGATTTTCCTCCATGCATGTCATGCATTCAAACCACAAGGCAATTCTTATGACTAACTATACACATCTTTGTTGGTGGTGGTGGTTGTTGAGTCGCTAAGTCATGTCCAACTCTTGTGACTCCATGAATTGTAGCCCAGGCTCCTCTCTCCATGGGATTTCCCAGGCAAGAATATCGGAGTGACTGTCATTTCCTCTCCAGAGGATCTTCCCAACCCAGGGATTGAATTCAGGTCTCCTGCATTGCAGGCGGATTCTTTACCAACCAGGGAAGCCCAGGTACATCTGTAACAAAGCTAAGAAAAGCATTTTTGAGAGTGTTAGTTTTCCACAAGTAATCCACTGTAGCATCAAATAAATCAATCTCTTTGCTGATTTACATTGTCTTTTATAGTTACAGTGTCTCTATCTGCTTTGTCCACATTAGAGTCTTATTCAAAAACGTGTTCATATCAATTCAGATCCTCTTGGCCAGGCAACCTGCTGGCATTTAAATAATTGCCAACCTTGAATATTAATATCAGAACTGTCAACATGAAACAGACTGGGATGGCAATAGATAAATTAGTTTTTGGATAGTGGTGAAAAGTTGATATGGTCCATAGCCAGTCTTTAAATGTCATTTTTGGAGGTGGGGGGTAATGCAGAATGAGAAAAGGTAAGCTTTTGAAATTAGGGTCATGAGAGAGGGTGGTTATACTCCTTAGCTTCTCGGGGTATTGATTTTATTATCTGTAAATAAAGAACAATAATATCTTCTTCCTAGAGATTCAGCAAAGATTAAATGAAAAATAGTTTATATTTGTGTCTCCCTGCCACATAATGGGCCCTCAGTTACTATCACTATCATTATATCTGTTATTTTGGAACCTTACTTTACAATATAACTAAAAAACATCAGTTAAAAAAGCAATACCTTGTGATGTTATAAGATGTTCAGAT